TATTATCGGAAAAAGCAATTATGTAAAAAAATATGTACATCCTCATATAGTCACACTGGGAAATTAATCGTCGTATACATAATAAATTTTGAAAATTTCGCGTTTACTTTTTGCATGTATTTTGGGATTTAACACGTAGTATTGATATCGATGTCACACATATATGATCAGAATTTTTCTTGGCAAAAGTGATCGGCGTGAACAATGTGAACTCGCATTAGTAATTTTTTTATTCGCTAATATAATTAAACATATCTGTATTTTATATAAAAATGACAAATACACAATCTAAAATCGAATCATTAGAAGAACAGATCTCCAAGCTTGTAGCTGAGAATGATAAACTTAGACGGGAGAATGCTGAATTCTTGGCTAAGGAAACGGGACTTATAGCTAGAATTGCGGAATTAGAACGATCTGCAAAAGAAAATGCAGAGAACGCAAATTTAAGAGATGCTGAACTCAATGTCAGAATTTCAAATTTGGAACAGAAACAGTCACAAAACGATAAAAGAAAGAACGATCCAATTGTCTTACAAAGTGAGGATACTTCCGAATCTAAATTAGATGATATTCCCGCGTCTAATATATCTGATAACTCTGATGTACAAGAAGTGACGAAGTCTCAAATCTCCGGGTCATCTCCAACCCGATACTCTGAATCGTCTATTCATATAAAGCCCAAATCGCTGGAAGATAAATCGGTTGATTATTTTCTGAATCTTATACATAAAGAACAGATTAGCAACGAGATTATAGAAAGAAAACGGGAAAAAAAGCTATTACGAAATAATGAAACATCTAATAACCAAGACTTATCTTCGGATAATAAATTGCCGGAGCAATCCAATTCATCGTGTGTCGTAAAAACTGTTACAGTGGAAACAGAGGTAAGTGGGGGAATAAAGCTTTCTTGCCCTGAGTCCAAATCATCTACTAATATTTCGTCTAATCAAAAACAGGATTCTATTGTTGCTAAAAATAATGAACTTACACCTTCTGAGAGCGAAGCTCATTGTTCCACAATAATAAAAATTCCCTATAATCAGAAAGTAGAACGGGGTTTAATAAGTGAATTGCTTGAATTTATTGCCGAAGGCAGTCACGAGATGGCTAGGAGCAACGACACCATGGTCCCACAAAATTCGCATTCTATATCTGGAAAACAAATTTTTGACTTATTTAAGAAAAATATGGCATATGTGGGTGATTTAACTATAGGTACCACACCTTATCTAGCACATTTATTCAATAAGGCTGAAACAACGAGTAGAAAGGAAAAATTACAATGGTATTGCTATAGTGAGGAATACGAAAAAAAGGTCAAAACTCTTAGTTCGGAAAATAATATTAGTGATCAAATGGCAAGAACACAAATTTACGATGAGATGATGCCATATCTACCTGGTATTAAGAGAGAGTATTTACGCAAGATGACCCAAAAGGCTAAGAATATTTATACATTGTTTAAAGGAGTAGGAAAGGATAAAATCAGGTTAATTACATATAGTGCTGATGCTATTTCTAGATTAACAGATTCACAAATCCAAAATATAATAAAAGTTTATGCTGATGAACTTGCCAAATCTCAAAAATTGATCAGCGTGAACAATTGCGAACACGCACATGGTCAACCGAAATCTGATATAGAAACTAAAATATGTGAAGAAACTTTACCGGAAATGGAGGTAAGTACAATGAAAACCAAGGTGGATACATCACCCGAATCATGCCAAACTATATCACAGGTAAATACTGTTACCGTTTTGTTGGGGCTTTCGAAATACTCAAAGGTATTTATAAAATTTAAGGAATATTCAAAGGGAAACTTCCAATGTCTTAACGAC